ACCCTCAATATATTAAAAATAAGGATATTTTTCAATTTGGAAAAAAATTTTCTTTGTATAAACTTTCCAGCCGCCGCCGCTGCCGTCGATAGGCGAAAAAATTTGATCTTTTTAGCCGCTGCCGCCGCCGATTAATTCATAGGTTACACCTCTCCCTATTTATATATAGTTATTATTTGCGAAAAGTAGATATTTAGTCAAAATCCTTCCTTTACGATTATTTTGCTTTTTCAAATATTTTCATGGCTTTTGAACGACGTTTAACTCATCATTATGTTGAAGTTCAGAAAAATCCCCCACCATTATGTTATGCAGAACCAAAAGATCCAAGTAAAGATATGATTCATTGGATTGGTTGGATTGAAGGAGCAGAAGAAACTCCATATACTGGTGGAAAATTTCATTTGTCAATTGATTTTTCTTCAGATTTTCCATTTAAACCACCACGTATTAAATTTTTAACACCCATTTATCATCCAAATATTAGTACAGAAGGTATTGTTTGTTTGGATATCCTTGATTCACAATGGTCTGCAGGATTAACTGTTCGTACTCTTCTCATATTATTATCGTCATTATTAAATGATCCTAATTCAGATCATGGACTTAACAATGATGCTCTTCAACTCTATAGAACCGATAAAGAAAAATATAAAGAAACAGCCCAACAATGGACAATTATGTATGCTAAGAACAATAAATAATAAAAACAATTCTATTGATATATTTCTCTTCTTTGTAAATATTTTTGAAATGTATAAAAATAGTCTTCTGTTTTTTTCGAATGAATTGTATGATGTTATGACTAATATCGAATAATCATAAACCGATGGAAAAATTTCTAAATGCGATGTATCATGTGTTAAAACCATGAGGGTATTGTTTGGGCTGATTTTCGAACCAATGATCACGAAACTCTTGTATTCGAATAAGTGAAATGGTCAGATTTGAGAATAATTAGATTAATCATACGGTTATTATTATCTACTTCATATCTTTGCATCATAAAATACATTCATTAAAAATGGTTCTTCTGGTTCTTGTCAAACAAGTAGTTATCTGTAATTTAATCGAAAAAAATATGTCAACTAACGATAATAATGTTAACTATATAAAAATTAGTTCTTAGTTCAAAATAAAAGATTCAATAACAATTATCAATGTTATAAGTACATAAGTTAGAAACTGTTTCCGACGATGAACAATACTTTATATCTTAAGAAGATCAAAAAGAATGAAGCTTTACAATAAGATATCAACAAAAAATCAAAGGAGTTTTGAGGCAAACTATTGTAGTACCAGATAATTGCTTCATAACTTGTTAAGTTGACATTGTTTGTAAAACTTCTCCATCAAGTATAAGACGTTCAATATTATTCTTTGTTCTTTCTACAAATGGATACATTCGAGAAAGAGTTTTGCATTGTACAATCATCGGTGGTTTAAACATTACTTTCATTATATTCGCGGCGTAGCCTCTGACATGACATTCACTTTCCACATGAGAAAATAAAGGTGGATGCAACTCTTGAAAATAGCCGAATGGATTTCGTGGTGCAGGAAGCCATAGAGAACCAAGTGGTCGAATACTTAACGGAAATACAGCAGATTTTCTAATATTATGATGACAACAAAGTTTATGATCCCAAAGATGAGTTTTATTCTCGTCATAGTAAAATATATCAATAAACGGATAAAGACTTGTAGATGGGATTACTTTCGATTTTGATCCAGGAAAAATCTTTGTTGGTCCATGCTTTAAGTTACCTGGTCGCATATACACAGGCACTTCGTGTTGCTCTATCGAAAATTGACGTTCAAGAAGTTCTTTATCATTTTTAGGTACGAAAAAGTCAAAATCTCGATCCCAAGGAATGATATCCCAGTGACGTACTGACCCAACCAAAGATCCACCAATCATCCAGTACGTAATGTTATAGCGTTCGCAAAAAGCAGAAAAGGCTCGAACAACATTCATTCCGATCATATGTTCACAAGGAGTCAACACTCGATTCACTGCTGCATGATTTCTCCAATTTGCATATGAATAATTCTTGTAAAGACCACTGAGTCGAGATACCGTTCTAGGTACGTTAATATGTATCGATATATTACTATTATTTAATATATCTGAATGCTTCAACATATGAGAACATATCTGATTCATGTACGTCTCATAAGTTTCTATTTTCGACACATTTATTTGTTCTTCACAGTGGCACGTTGGTTGCAAAAATTTAGTGTGAAGAAACACATTTATGAGGAAACAAATTGTCAAAATAATTGAACCAAAAATAACTAATTTTCGTGCAAACATTGATTTTAAAACAGTAGCATATCTATAAATTATTTGAAAATAGAAGAAAGAGAGAAAATATTAAAAACTTTAGATTCCATGCAAAAGTTCATTGATGGTGTGAATCATTCAAAGATACACGTGTATTATATATACTTGTATATCGACTGATACATTGTGATAGTATATCAGATATATGTCGCTTATCTGTTACCTTGTGTATTATCAAATTAGTATTAATATCAATCGTCGATTGATAATAACAAATGTATCTTTGTCTTTTTCATCATTGATCACCATGTGACTTTTCTTTTTATATTATATGAAGAAAAAGAAGAATATAAACGATACTATTTACTGTTTGTTGATACCTCAATCCGTTAGTCTCTTTTTCTTCTTCTTTCGTTTCATATTAACGAGTCGTTTGTATATTGTAATTATGCTATACACTTAATAACATCATATGAAGTAATATAAGACATGTATACATTCAAAATAGTTTAACAACGAAAATATTGATGTAATTTCTTCAGGATGGGTGTGATGAAGATAGGACACTCACACCCAGCTACCCGTTTACAATCATACGATAGTTCGAATCTTATGTTGGTTAACAAACATTTTTTCTTTATTTTTCTTTGCATCTTTGAAATTTCACAATATGAATATTGTGTGTTGTAATCTAATGAAGTAAAGAAAAGAATTACACCATCTATAAACACATACAACTTAAATATAATTTCGATAAGAAAAGAAAGAGACGAGCCGTGATCGATGGCTAACACAACTCAAAAGTTATGAGACAGAAGCATTACTTTCGGTCTATCCAGACCACAGTCATCGATCAATTCGACACTCGTTTTTTTTAAAACTGTTTTATATTACATAATTAGCTCTAACTGGAGAGTATTTCTCATCAAAAATTGTAATAAAAAATGAATATTGAATAATGACGATCAGTTTTCTGGCTGATAAACTTTTCTCTCAAAATATAGTTTGTATGACGTTATTATTGTACACAACTTAATGAATGAAAACAAACGATTATTTGCATAAGAAACTATTGTAATAGATGAAGTTTCTCAACCGAAAGACCGCTGTATTTTAATCATTTCAATTTATCCAGGCTATCATCGTATTTTTTTATATAACACGTATACTATCAAAAATGTCTGGTAGACGGTTAGCAGTAATACATAGTAATCCTATCAATTTCAGTGCTAATACGCTGTTGCATATAAAAGGATGGTTGCATTTGGAAATAATAGTTTCAAATATTGTTGAGCTGTCGAGACTAGAAGAGAAAATGAAATTAAAATAAGATAACAACAAGTTATTGATAGAGAGTATGTTTACTTACTCGTTTTTTTCGATCCGCATTGGTAACCAATAAATTTCTTTATTTTCTCTCTAACTCCAATCAGATCATTTTCTTGACGTAGGCTGGTGTATTTTCGACTTTTATATGAATGTGAAATTATAGTATGTAAATTTGGAAATATGAAAAGTATCCTTTTCAAACCCTCTGAAGTTGGAAAATCATTCTTGAACGTAATAAATGTTACTGACGTCATTATCGAAGTACCATTCCAATTGTTATTGGTAGATATAATACAGCAATTAGAAAATGTGATGTGTTTTAAGTTCGGAAAGAGATCACTAGCAGATTGAACAAATTCAGCTGATAAATTATCATCTTTAACACGTATTTGACTGACATCTTTTAGATGATACATATTATCTTTGTTAGAAAGGTAGATTAAAGGTACAGAAGAAGGAAACAAATGATATGAAAATTCTATTTGTGGCAATGAATGCATCACGAAACTAGTATTGTACGATTCCGTTTCAGTTTGTTTATAAAAACAGTAGACTGGTGGAAAGCATTGTGATGATATCCAGAAATCAGTCTTAAATTTATCAAGATACATTTGAACATCGAGCAGAGATGGAAAAAGATTTGACGGAAAAACAAACCAAAAATTGCAATTGAATCTTTCTAGATGTGGTAAATTTGAGACTAGATTATTTTCTAAATAATAAAATAAATGAGAATAAGTTATCGTCAACATTTCAGTTGATTCTCATCTGTATCCATCAACTCACCTAATCGTTGACCATCAATTGCAGTCGAATCCACTAAACGCATTTTCAAATTGAATGTTAATACCTTCAATGATCGACTGAAATTCAAAATTAATGATTCCAACGCTCTGTAGTTAAAAGAAGCAGTAATACTTTTCAACTCGAATTCCTTCAAATGTAGAGAGATGTTACGAGTATTAGAATTCATAACATTCAGTGATGTTGACTCTACATATGATGTTAAGTCAACTTTTAGAGTCTTAATGTTTGGTAGACTATACAGTAATAATGAATGTAAGTCGTTTTCATTATCTAGTTCAATATTCAAATGTTCCAATTGATACAGATGTAATGAATACAGTAAACGATTTTCAATAGACAATGATTTTAGTGTGCAATTTGACGATAAAAATAGTTTTGAACACTGTAAAGGAGATTTTGAAGATGACGAAAAAGTATAATTGAGTCGCAAGGTGTGCAGTTTCTTAATAAATATTCTTAGATAGAAGTGAATTCGACCGGTACTTCTTTTTGAAACCAAGATATCCTGAATCGAAAGAGCACGTAACTGCGGATAGAGAATGCTAAAATCTTTGTATGATAATGGAAATAACTGACGAAGTTGATTGTAGTTACATTGAATTGATGTCAATGTAAATTGAATACGAGTGAGATTGAAGTTTGCCATCTCTAGAAGAATCGAACAGGTTTCTAAATAAAATGGTGTCTACAAAGTAGGAGACCAGGCTTACCATTAGGTTCGATTAAAATCCAGTTATCTTCAGAATAACAGTAATGATGTGTAAGTTCCCAAGAAATCAAACCTAGATCAACATGTTGATAGACATAGGCATAGATTAGATTATGAAAGCGACTATTGATATTAAAAAATGCATCGATCAGTTCAACAGAATTCAGATAGATGAAAATCTCATGATAGAAGAGTTCAGAAGGAAGTGATTCCAATGATGTTAATTGACTAGAAAAGAAATTATTTTCAATACAAATATTTTGACAGCGTTTATCAAACTTACGGTTTTTGCTGTGTCAATGAGAAAGAATTCGTCGAAGTAATGCCACGTTTATTGATTGCAGTAAAAATAGGATTAAGTGTAGTGACGAAAAACTGGCCGGTTCTGCTGAACAATTGATATAAGATATTGGAGAACTTGGCACGATTCGCGATGTCCGATTGTATGACAGACATCATATTAGAAGTGAATCTTAAAAATTCGTAGAATAATATTATATATATATTTGCACATTGATATGACTCTTTTTAATAAAAAAAAAACGCGTTTTCATTTTCTTCTCATTCTTACTTTGTCAATTATATTGACTCTTACCTGTTTATAGTCACTTCCTTTCAATAATGTTGCGTATGCATTCATCATTTTTTTCGTCATGATTTATATCTTTGCATGCTTACTAATATATACACATGTGCTCGTTCTCTTAGCTAATTTCCTATGAATCATTTTCAAAAGTGCCCCCTGATGAGGTATGTTTAGATTTCCACTCAGAGCAAATTTCCAGTTCCCCATCAACCACAAATAATACTAAAAGCACATCCACTTACCTCAAAAACTTTTAGATAATTTCAGACACATAAGGCATAGGGTAGGAAGTAAGAAGAAAATATATAAATTATAACGAAATTTCGAGTTAATTTCAAATATATAGTATTAGTCATTATTTCTTGACTAATATTTGAAATTTCTTGGTAATTTCTAAGTTTTGTGTCTTCGCTACACGCTTGATATACGTCACTTCTATTTGATAAACTGTACCATCTTTCACAGTGATTGGGGGAGTCTTCTGAAATTTTTTTAGAGTTCCTGTCGTTACTTCACAGGTTATCTATCTGTACTCTATTTCGGATATGTAATATGGTGTCTAGGAACTTCGAAAAGTTCCAAAGCTTCTTGTATAGTTGACGGTATAGATGATTCAATATAAAATTTTTGAAAAATGTGTTATAATTAATTGATCGTTTATTGTATGAACCCTTATGTGACAATGGATGGTGATGAAAAACTTCGGTATTTTCCAAAATTTTCCTTTCGCGTAAATCTGAACACTGCTGATTTTTTATACTTCTGACTTTGATCAGTATATGAGAATAAGGATGGTGATTGTTTAATAATTTAAACTGTTCATTATTCGATTAATTCGCAATAAAATCTGCTAGCTTTACTTTTTTCTTTAGTTTTAAAAAAAATTATGTTTGTATTTTATTCATAGGAAAAGTAATCCTTTATAATCAGAAAAATAAAAAATATTTAACCACGACCAAATGGAATTTTGACACCGACACCAACACCCCATTCTGGTTTTGCTGCGAACCTCTGACCCTGAATATAGGAAATATAAAATAGAACAAGATATTCATGATTAAAAACTTACATTATAACTTGCATATCCACCACTCATAGCTGCACCCAAACCAACTGATGGTTTATTATAACCTCGATTATAGATTGGAATACCAACTCCAATTTGTCCACCATACTGATAGTTTTTGAAATTATTCATACTACCACTAGCTTGTATATTATGAGACCACTGATTAAAATAAAAAAAAGGAAAGTCATTAATTAGAGATGTATTTATTTTGTACATACACTTCCTGTGCGAGCAGCATTGAGAGATTGTTCCATAGCAGATTGTCCTAGACCTTGTCGACGATATCTTGGTAATCCCTCGGCAACAATACAGAAAATTAATAAGTAATAATAAGCCATAGATCTTATAGAAGACATAATAAGTTTAATTACTGATTGAATATTTGTTAATCGTATGATAATAATGCTTTTCAATGTGATTTACTAGTTCTTTTATATACATCTATAGTAGTAGTACCGATAAAGTATAATGACCTTTTCATCATTGTAATACAATATTACATTGATAAAAAATCATTTTCCCAGCAATGACTCAATTCAAATTGTTATTCATACAATCTTCACAGCATTAAAATATAAAAATTGTTATTTTGTTTGAGTCATCAGATAAAATTACATCAGTGTTATTGTTTAGCTTCTTAATCAAACCTTAAATAATACGATTTAGTGCTTTCATTTCATCTTAGATAAGGCGAATGATGTGATAAAATACAGTTAACCTACTCGCAATATAGATCGAATTTTGATGTAAAAAAAGGAATATTTCTTAATTCTCTATAATAAATTGTTGAAAGTCGATTCGTATTAAATAGAAATCAATTATTTTAGAGAGAATAATCCGATTTGTATTTTTGTCAAAGTTACTATTTGTTTATTAAATCGTTTTACAACACTTTTATTCCACTATAGTTGCATTTTTCAATGAAATATTTCAAAACAGCTCAGATTACATAATGAAATGTCATAAACTATGAATTTCGATAGACAAATATGTGTCATCATCTCATTCGAGAATAAAGAGAAGAATTTTATTTATTGGCAATAATCTGTCACATCTAATAAACAACATCAATACAACAAATAAAATTGACGCGAATGTATAAAGTTAATCATCGCAAATGAACTCATTTGGTATTGTTCTGTTAATGTCTACTTCAAACTTTGTGCTCTGGACAAAAAAGCAAAATATTTATCCGCATAGAAATACTTTCTTAACTTCGTTTCGAAACGTTTTCGAAACAATTAAGTTTGCATAACAACTAACACAATATGGTATACCAATACAAAATAGACATAAATATCCAATACGATCTTCAATTTCCGTGCGGTCAGTCGTTTTATTGTAGTTTTGTGTTATTTGTAAATATAACAGATAGATCGCATAAACAAAACTGAATAGTGCAGAAATAATGATATCTATGAGTAACATGAGAATCATTTGACGATCTTTCTTTGCAGTAGCTTGTGAGCTATTTTCAACAACAGTTCGACTGACAGATAAATCAGGAGCAATCCGAATACGTTGTAGATTTCGAATATTTTTGATCGACCATATTCCACATATAATCATTAGTGAGAAGAATACAAACTGTTTCAGAATCGCATAAAAAGTGAAGAAATCCAAATAAACACCCGGTTGAAAATAACAAACAAATAGATTAGGACCAAGTTGGATAATATTTGTTAATACTAATGCATGACTTTGAAATAATGTCCAAAATAATGTCCCACCTATCACACTTAAAAGAGCGAGACGTCGCGTACTTTTTTGTCTAACGAGTGCATCCTGTGAAGTGACCAGTATTCGATCGATTGAAGCCAAAATCAAATAAAATGGGCTGAGAACATCGAATAAAATACCAGTATATAGACGTAGACGGCAAATGATCAGACTCTGTATACTAACATCAATGTTATATCCTTCTTCCATGGTTGCTGATAATAACAAAGCATAAATGAATCCTAAATTAGCAACATTATATGCAATGAAATAGATTGAACATGGATTTTTTCGTAGATTTTTTCGAGTGAATACGATTAAATTTATTCCACAACCGACAGTACCCATTAGCATAAAAATTGGACAAATAAATTGATATAAATATGTTTGTACAGAAGTCAGTATAGATAGTATCTCGGATGATGAAGACATATTTATCGAGAGAGATGTTACACTTGATGAGCTACACAGTTATGAATTGTTTCACACTGTGCTTAGCTGTTTGATAAGAAATATTACAATATATGGAGACTATTCAGTCAGATAAAGTAAGAATAAACTACATAATAGTTAGAGTATTTATTTTATTTTCTGCTAACTTGTTTTTTTTTAATTTCAAGTATATATTCAACTTAATTTCCGTCTTTATTCATCCGAATAATCTAGTTAATACAAAACTAAACAATCTGTCTCGATATCTTCTAACTGTTATTAACGCTCACTTAGATTTCTTTTAGTTTTGTCGAAACAATCGTCAATTCAAGTGTTTCTTGACTTATATCAGTAATAAGTTTTTTTGGTGTTGTTAAGAAATAATGAAGGATATATTTAGCTTGGAAGAGAAAAACAGCAATTTTAATAAATGGATCAATGAAAATGTCACTAATAGACTAGTAGTAAACGAAATGAAAACGCCATCTTGTTGGTTAATCAATCTTGATAGAGAATGAGAGTCATCGAAGATTATAAACAACTATAATTACTTTAAGAGAAAGTAAACATATTATTCTTAATGACTTTTTCTCGTTACTATATATCAAAATAGTATAGCTTGTTGAAAAGTTTATCAAGTAATTTTCGATTATTTAGAAGAGTAATGATACTATGCATTGTCTATTACAACTATTCAGAATGAAATAATAAACACCATAATTAACCTGAATAGAATATTAAATTATAAGGAGATGTCGAGATTACTTCGTTACATGTCTATTCATAGTGAATGAGAACACGTAGTAACGGAAGAAAACGTTTAGTATTATGAAAGACGTTGTTGATGATAAATATATAGAAAAGTGTTAATGACTGTGAAACAGATAAATCTCAGACATAAATTCTATCGTTTGAAATGACAAAATACTGTTAATGTCAAACTTTTTACTTTCATCGATGAGATGCGTGACTTTACGAATTTGCTTTCTCGTACAAAGATTAAAAAACATAGCGTTTTCTATTGACTCAAGCTATTTAACCTAGTGCTATATACGAAGAATGGATAAGCAGCTTTGACCTCATTTTTTGTCTCAGTTTTACTTCCGCATACAATCGTATGCTATCATATTTCTTTGTATATCGTCAAAAACGGCCAGACAACCACGTTGAATTTAGTGTTCTGTATGGGACCATCGGTATGACATATGATCGCAAGAAAGATTATAGTAATGCTCTGCCTCCAAATCATCCAAGAAGTTTACATTTAAAGAAAAATATCAAAATGGTGAAATTTAAAAATGAAGCAGCTGAATATTTGTGTTTTTTGTAATTTCATCGCTATTTTTGAATATTATAAAAGTAACTCTTGAGTTTGGGAATCATATTTCGTTTTAGTGCAATATCGCTGCATGATGATATCATATATATATATATACACAGGGATTTAGTATCTGATGACAATGAAAAGAAATGAAGTATTAAGAATCATTTTCGTTGGATCTGTTTTTGAATAGTACAAAATGCAATTATCAACAATAATTGTTTTTGTTAGTCATACAATATTTTGTGTATGTGCTGATTATTCTTCAAAATATACAAATGATAATGTTTTGATGAGAATGATGTTTCAGACACGAGATAATCACGGTTGCGATGCGATTATTCCGAGTTGTGGTCCAAAGGGTCGATGTTGCGATTGGCATGATGAATGCTTTAAGAGATACGGATGTCGGGCAAACAGCTGGGGTTGGTCGTGTAAGTAAATTTGATTATGTTTATTTGAATTATATATGTTGTTCGATATGTACATAGGGATTCCTGGTGTTGCATTGTTTGAACCATGTGCTCGATGCAATAAAGCTGTTTTATTTTGTATTGGTAATATATTTACATGGCCTGGACCAAGTGAATGTTGTGGAAATGGCAACTGTGGACAAAACAGGCCACGAAAATACCATAGTCGTAAAATCATTGTCTGACTTGTAATCAATGAGCATACTTAAAATAAAACACATTGAAAGCAGATGAAAGATCAAAGTTGATGTTGTGTATATTTAACTTCTGAAGCATTGGACAATGTGTATTTGACGACAAAATTGAAAGAATCATTAAAATGGTTTATAAATTCAAAAATATAAAACATAAGTATGATAGAGTATAATATTTCAATGTGTCATTTAGCGAATCATCAACTATTTGATATAAATATGTAAGCTCCTTAATTATTGCACATAGTCAATCATGTTATGGATTTTCAATTGTTCGTCGTCTTCTAAACAATCATATTCTTTAACTAAAAACTTTGCATGAGTGCATTTTTCATATTCGCATTCATACTTGTTCACCACTAGATAACACTTATTCGATCCCAAGCTTAATTCTTATGCCAAATAGATTAGAAAAAGTGAAACAGATTGTATGATTACTTCTGTCACCCTCATTAAAAGCTTGATCTACGTTTTTATTGTTAATGTCGGGCACAACCCAACACTTCATTTAGTGGGTGAAGTAATTAGATTGACGAAAATAGAACGACTAAATTGTTCATTTAATAGTATAGTGAATATAAATGGTGCGATTATTGGTCTTGTGAATATGGCGTCTATACTTTCATCAATAACTACATCCACATCCACCCATACCCTCATGATTGTCGATAACACGAAATGTGTCGGGAAACTAACTCTATGTTTATTTAATCATAAAACTAAGCACAATGTTTATTCTGTGAATTATTTCAATAAAAGTTGATTGGTGCAAAGCAAAAGATGGGATTAGTCTTTTCTTGAGAAGAGAGAATCAATTTATTTTCACTTGATTCCCATTGATATTGAATGTTTTTAAATTCTAAAAATGAAAACATTTATTAAGGTAAACATTTGGTAGATACAAATTTCTTACAGAATTGTAGCGTATTGTATCAACTAATTTTGCTACTCCCTTATTTCCAAAATTTTCAACAGCAAGATTAACTGTATGCATATTCTGTAGATGAAAACAAAGATAATGATTTAAAACTAATATTTAGAATATGATTCTTACCGAACTGTACCGTATTGCATCACCTAATTTTGCCATTCCATTCTCTCCAAGACTGTCAACATCAAGATTAATTGTATTTATTTTCTTCCAATGAAAAGAAAGATAACGTTTTGCAATTATTAGTCAAGAAAATGATTCTTACGGAATCCCAGCGTAAAATATCAGCTATTTTTGCTGCTGCACTGTCTCCAACATTACGTATAGAAAAACTAACATTCTTAATATTCTGTAGATAAAAACACAGATAACGATTCAAAATTAATAATTAGAAGATAATTCTTACCGAATTTCCACGTATTGCGTCAATTAATTTAGCCACTGCCTTCTCTCCAAGATTGTCAATACCAAGATAAATCCTATTGGTTTCCTTTAAATGAAACGAAAGATGACAATTTGAAATTATTAGTTAAAAAGATGGATCTTACGGATTTCCAGCGTATCACGTCAGCTAATTTTGCTACTGCACTGTCTCCAAGATTTCTTAGGGCGAGACTTATGTTTATAATTTTCTTTAGATAAAAACAAAGATAAAGATTTGAAATTTTTAATTAGAAGATAGTGTTTACCGAATTCCAGCGTATGAAATCACCTAATTTTGCTACTGCTTTCTCGCCAAGATTATCAATACCAAGTTTAATTGTATCCGCTTTCTTTAAATGAGAAGAAAAATGATAATTTGAAGCTATTAATTAAAAGATGGTTCTTACGAAATTCCATTTTAATAAATCAGCTACTTTATTCGTTGCACTATCTCCAAGGTTACTTAGATTAAAACTAAAATTATGAATATTCTGAAAATGAAAAGACATATGAAGATGTGAAATAGTTAATTAAAAGTTAGTTCTTACCGAATTCCAACGTACTGCGTCAACTAATTTTGCCACTGCATTCTCTGTAAGATTGTCAATACCAAGATCGATTGCATGAATATCCTTTAAATGCGAAAACAAATAAAGATGTGAAATAATCAATTAAAAGTTTTTTTTTACGGTATTCCAGCGTATGGCATCAGCTAATTTTACTGTTGCACTCTCTCCAAGATTTTTTAAATTAAGACTAATGTTCTTAATGTTCTGTAGACAAAAACGAAGATAATGATTTGAAATTATTAAGTAGAATATGTTTTTACCGATTTCCAACGTATTGCATCGGCTAAATTTGCTACTGTCTTCTCTCCAAGGTTGTCAACAGCAAGATTGATTGCATCAATATTCTTTAAATGAAAAGAGAAATAAAGATGTGAAACGGTTAATTAGAAATTAATTTTTACGGTATTCCAGCGTATCAGATCAACTATTTTTGCTGTTGCATTCTCTCCAATATTTCTTGTAGTAAGACTAATGTTTTTAATTTTCTGTAGACAAAAATAAAGATATCGATTTTAAAGTAATAACTAGAATATAATTTTTACAGAATGCCAGCGTACGGGATCAACGAGTTTTCCTACTGTCTTATCGTCAAGATTGTCAACAATAAGATTAAGTGTATGAATATCCTTTAAATGAAAAGAAAGATAATGATTTGGAATCATTAATTAGCCGATGGTTTTTACGTATTTATCGCGTATCATGTAAGCTAATTGCTCTGTTGTCTTGTCTCCAAGGTTTCTTACAGCAAGAATAACTGTTCGAATATTCTGAAGATGAAAAAAAAGATCGCGATTTAAAACTGTTAATTAGAATATGGTTTTTTTACAGAATTTGAATGTATTGCATCAGTTATTTTTGCTGCTACGTTCTCATCAAGATTATTATCAGCTGTCAGACTAATTGTATGAATAGCCTACTAATAAAAAACAAAAATAACAATTTGAAGCTATTAATTAGAATATAGCTCTTACGGATTTCTTGCGTATTTGATTAACCCATTTTTCTACTTCATTATCTTTAATTTGACTTGCTTCAATGTAGAGTACAGTAATTGCCTACAATGATCAAAAGGAATCAAAAAAATAAATGTGAAGTGATAGCGTACGTTACCGAGTTTAAGTTGAGTTTTCCGATTAGATCGTATGCTGTAGTTTTTTCGATTGGTTTTGTAGACTTTTTCTGATTTTTAGTATATGTAGTCAATGTTGTTGATTCTAAATGAGTAAGAAAATGAGAAAGTTGACGGTGTGGGTGTATATGTGAATAGAAAAACATGGTCACCCACATCCTCAAGATTTATTTTGGATATTATCTTAGTTTCTTTTATCTTTGGTGGCATATGATGGTACTGAATAATACATATATATCTCATATCATTTTGAAACGTAATAAATAGTTTTCAAAAGGAAAAAATCGATCATTTTTACTTATTTGTGACCAAATAAAACGTTGGATATGGTTTCGTCATGAAATACTCACCGTTATTTGATGTTTCGGTTGAAGTTTTCTGCTTAGGTTTTCGCTTATACAGAAAACCATCTATCATCGTTGGCACAATAAAGAGAAGAATTAGTAGAAATATTGGTAGCTTCATACTTCGAGTGTGTGTGTATTGTTTAAATGAATTGAGATATGAAATAGTTGATGTTCTTTCTTTTCTTCTCTCTCATTCAAATAAATTGGAAATATGATACACATAGCATCGCTTCTATGTAAACACAACAAGTAATAAGATTCCTATTCTTTCGTTAAGTCATAGCGATATGAGTTGCTTTATCTAAATATAAATGCTTCACTATGACTAGGCAATTTATTATCGAGGTTTTAGTATTACTAAATCGAAACGAAATCTCCTTGCTCGTCCAATGTGAAGAAATTTACACAAAGTTAGAACGATGAACTAAGTGAAAAAATAGACAAATAATCAATGATGAAGAACAGAACATCCTCATCGTTATCAATCGCCACTTTGAGATCCACCTCTAACACAATCGTATTCTTCGTATGAAAACGAGTATAGCATTATTGCATATCACATGTTCAATCTGAACGCTCCTTCAAAAGTATTGCTTCACTTGGATTACCATAAGGATATGAATATAGATGTGAGAGTATCATGATCAACTGACACTCACATCCTGTTTTCTGTGACTTGAATTTATTTGAATGCAATAGTATTAGCCTTAGTGTATTCATAAGTGGGTAAGACTACATCTTTTTGTTTCTTATAATGTAACTTATTAAAGAAATAATATAAACACATTTATTCATTATATATTTCAAACTATAGAATAGTCATATCTTTGAGATAATCTGATTTTCGTTTTGTACGATGTCATTTTGTTATAATCTTATCTTTTGAAAAATGTGTCTATATATGACCGATCATAAGATTTGTTAAACTTCATTGATTGTCTTCTGTTGTACAGATCAAGATCTGTAATCAAGCCGTTCACTTCTTTTTGTCTTTTCTTGACAACTATGTGTTCTCCTCCAGTATGTATGTGATGCATAACTTGATCCACTATGGATGTTATTCGAGCGTATACATGAAAAACGATATTCATTCATTGAAGGAAAAGATGGAGGAGTGTATTTAAAGGAATGAATAAGTGTCAATGACGGAGAATGTGAGGTAAAAAGTATATTCTCAATTACATTCTCACTCACCCACGCCTATTCCAAATATGATTAAAAAACTTCGTGTAAGTGTGAAATACGCACATAATCAATTACTAACGGTGATAGTTATTGATTCTAAGACTTCAGGTAATTCGATTATGTGCCACTCTAAGAAATTTGAGAGTGAACAATCTTGACAACGAAAAGAAAAAAAAGAGCTCGCATGAGTAATGGATTTTAAAAAAGTATTGACGTCAATCATATTGACTGGCCATCGTCATATATAAAATTGCAATCTTTACTAACAAAACAGTTCATTCTAAAATCATACCGAATAATGAATATGCATCAACTGCTTTTTAGTATTCTTTTACTTTTCGTTGGCAAGTTAGCCATGTCTATCTGTTGTAGTTAGGTGAATAGTTTTTATTGCAGGTATACACAATACAAAAGCCATACAATGTTATTCCTGCAATCAAACTTCCAGCTGTAATGATCCGTTCCATAGTAATGCTAATGGTGTTTCAATTATCACGTCACCGAATGATTGGTGTTGGGTGAGACTCTATATATAATACAGTGAATAAACACTGATGCTATATACATTGTTTCTAGAAACTTAAAGTAGAACCAATTGATAATCAAGAGGTGATTCGTGGTGGTGGTGCTTCTTTCCAAGGCAACCCGGTGAAATGTACTGAAAACAAATGTAGACAAGGAATGGAAGACGGCATAGAAGCTAACTTCTGCTGTTGTAATACACAATTGTGCAACAGCGCAAATTATATGCGATTGGCCAGTTCACTTCTTCTTTTAATACTTTATATTGCTCTCAATCGATAATGATCCTTATAATTTAGCATCAAAAGATCTTTCTCAAATGAACTGAATAGCTTCTATGTTTGCTTCTTTTAATAAATGTTCAATCGCTTCTCTAACGTAAATATGCCTACAAATTGTGATATATTAAATAAAAATCGCATACTTCATGAGAGTACATATGTAACTGAAGATAGGCTGGTATGAAGACGAGATATACATGTGGATCGGTGTAGGTGTGAGTATAGTAGCAACGATACCCACATACGTATTCCTACTCACATCCACACCCTGTTATCATGAAGTTCGTCAGAAGGGGCTACAGCATTGATTGCCGTTGCTACTCAGTCATTGTTGCCCTAGGTCAGTTTTCTTTATATCTTCAAGCCTATACTCATGGCGGTAAATTTGATCGTCGTACACACTACTACAATCTTATAAATAAACAAGAACTATTTTATATGGTTTAGGGACAAAAGATTTTATAGTAGTTTATTTTTTGTAAAATACATCTATTAACTAAATATTGATGACTGCATCCGAGACTAAAACAGTAAAAAAAAATTTCATTTAGATTTAAATCGACTCGAATCCTGTCGAAATAATCGTTCGTTCGTTCGTTCGATTTGATTCGAGTCTTTGGAATGTATATTCTAATGGGATCGAAAACTAAAGTTACAATAAGAAATTACAACAGATATAATCTACGGTTACAAATATACACCGAAATATTTATTTTGTTGTTATGCTTAATGTTCTGTTTATATAACATTTCTATGTGATTCAAGTTCAGTATAAATCTCATTTTGATTGATTGAGCCAGATTGTTTGACAAATTTATTAAAACGCATAGAAAGTATTTCAAATGTTGGACGATCATCAGAATTGTCTTGCCAACAAGAACACATTATTTCATAATACTGGTTATAAACATTATTCGTCTAAAAATACATCATCATTATAAACAAATATGAAAAAGATCAAATTTTACTTCCAACAAGTGATAATAACCATCAAAGCCTTTTTGTATTATTTCATTCGCTGAATAATGAAGATATGAAATTGAATCATGTGCAATAACTTCATGAAGAAGAAAACCAAAACTCCATACATCTGACTTAATTGTATATTCTTTTTCAATTGCTACTTCTGGTGCAGGCCATCTAATTGATAGTTGAGACTCTTCATCGATTATCGCACGGCCATCTTGAAAGTGTTTTGCTAAACCAAAACCACCTATTTTAATAATATCACAATCTCCAACATAAATATTTCGAGCTTAAAATAAACTTTTCAATCAAAAAATCTATTTCATTATTCATAGAATTTTACCAGTTAAATCACAATGAACATATCCTTTTTCTTCAAGATAAATCATACCATCTATAATCTAAATATAGACAAAATTTTCTTTTTCTAACAAAAGTTTGTTATATTTACTTGTACAATAAAATCCAGTTGAGTCATCGGGTCCATACTTTGTCCTGGTCCATAACGTAAATAATTTAATAGACATTCATATTTCATAAACTCCATTACAATCAATATTGGTTCTTCTAATGTACATACACCATACAAACATACAATATTTTTATGTTCAAATTCTTTCATCATTTTTGCTTCACGAAGAAATCGATTTTTATCATCATTCATTTTTATATATTTAATAGCAACATTACGTTGTCCATATGTACCTTTATAAACTTTAGTATGAGATCCTTGACTGAGTAATTCAGTGCTCAAAAGTTGAGAACGATCTAATTCTGCTAAACCATCGTGAACAGTTGCTTCTATTTTTTGACACGGATATGTGAGTAGACAACAAAGACCATCAGGTTGTACTTTACAAAAACAAAATACATAAAATAATGAAATTTTATATTTAATTATTTACTGTGATAATGATTAACAAGATCTTGTAATGATGGAAAAATGACTTCATTATCAATATAATATAAACCTTGATCTGTTCGAGAAATACGATAATGTTTCACATCAAAATATTGTTCATCTTCATCAAAATGAAGAACAGATAAGGATTCTTCACCTTGATTTATCCCTGAAGGTCGAATTAAAAAAGTTTCTTTTCCATTATGCGCTTGTTTAAGAAATCGTTCAGCATCATTACGATTTGTTTCAGTAAAATACCATCTAAATTTAGTAGAAGAAAGCTTAATCTTTTCAAATTTTGTTTAACTTACTCGCATGTTGTTAAATCGATTATTGGTGAGATATGTTTGACTGGAACATAACCAGTTTGTTTGGTTCGAAGATTTTTTGCTTTCCACCAAGGGTTAGAACTACACAAAAATCAAAAGATAAATAATTAATATTTATCATAAACAAAAATAATCACTTACGGATGTTTATCAATGATTTCCAATTTATCATACGTATTATATGTTAATTCGTTAAATGATAATATGCCATTAAAATTATAATTACCAACATAACTTTGTATGTCTTAACAAAACAAAGAAAAATCAATGCAAATCTCAGTTCATATATTTACTAGAAAATGATTTGTCTGATGTATGAGAATATACTATTGGATATATAAGAGGAGAGAGTGGTTGTATTTCTTGTAATTCAATTGAATAAACTCCATTGTTGTGAGTAGAACAAGCTTGAACTTTGAATTGTGTCATAGGAAAAAGAAGAATTTCATCGTCTAATTCAAAATAAGAATGTTGGCGAATATTTTTTCCAGAGATACATTCAATAATGAATAATGTTCGTATATTTTGTTTTTCAGATTGTAAATTGTCGGTTGATGTACTACAAGAATTAAATCCCCACCAGATAATTCTTTCGTCTGGTTTATATCGTTCACTTAAATCGAATTTGACTTCACGATAAATCTTTTGATGCATTGATGGAAGACGTGATAGAGCAGTAAGAAATAATTTAAGATAAAGAAACCATGGTTCAAGTTGATTTCGTTCTTTTGATCGAAGGGTTTTGTTTAAAACAACATGAAGACATTGATCAAGTGGTTTCCATCCCATTGTATAAAGCATAATTGAAGCTGATTCATCATTTGATAATCGATCAACGGGTGGTCTTTGACATCGTTGTTTAACAATACAGACATAATTTTCAATATCAGGTAAAAAAGGTATCAGTGGTTTAACAGCAACTTCAAGTGGAACCAGTGACATATTTTCATAACCATCGATTGGTGGAAGTATTTCGAGTGATTCTTTAACTATATCTGTAATGCGACGAATATGATATGCCTTTTGTTCTTTACTACCACTAATGACATTATCCATAATTGTAGATAGAAATAATGTAATTGATCTAAGATGAAGAAAGATTCTATAAAAGTAACAAAACAATTTATTTAATACAAACTCATACTGTAGAGAAAGAAAAGTTAGGTATAATCATACAGAGGTCATCATATTTCTATGCGGGCAAAAGGTCATTTGATGCATTCCTGGTATATTGCAAAGTTCATCATATGAACCCGATCTTATTTGAATATAGAAGGTCAAACAAATATACACAAAGAAAAAGAAGATATCGTTATCCAGCGGTCATCATATTTCTAAGCGAGTAAAAGGCTGAACGACTTGACCCTATTGGCACATATCTTCGTTAAATTAGATGAAATTTATTAATGAGTTCTTCTGTTTTTCTATAAATAAAATATTTGTGTTTTCATTCTATAAAATACAACTAAATCAATACAATGTACTAGAAATGATAGAAATAAAACGATTATCGTTCAGTAATTTTTTTATAAAAACACCATCGTATTAATTTGACAAAAACCTTCATTTATGCAACTTCATCTTTTCTTTTCAACAGTAAAAACTGCAGCGCTTTATTTTATTCGTATTGATAATTACTGCAAAAACCATTTTGAGAGTATGAATATTGCATTCACAACCTCATACCCACTCATGCACACTTTTTGTGTTCTACGTAAAAGAAAAACAAGCACGATGGATTGAGACATGTATTCTAACAATATTTGTTCTGTTCTTATGGTTCCTTCTCATTTCAAGTATTACTCTTATTTTATACATCATGTAATACTTGCTTCCCCCAATCTTATTTCGTTCTGTCTGGCAGGTGGATATTTTAAATGTATGGATTATATGAAATCAATGCGATTTTCGAAATGGAGAAATATAATACTCTCAACATAAACATTTCTTCTATTAGAAATGTCACAGTCGGTTTATTATGTAAAAATCAATGATAATAATCAAACTTTCACATATATAATATATTTTTGTGACAAATCTTGTTCAACTTTCAGTATTTGAAATGATACTCCAGCTGGCATTAGTACTTCTTGCTCATGTGGATAGTTTGATATATGAGCAATATCATATGCTCGTGGAGAACTAAGTTTTACTTTGGTTACTTCAATAATAATTAAAGTATTTCCAAACATTTCAGCCAGTTGACGATCTTTACTCGTTGATGTAAATGCTGGCCAAGTTTTCCATTGACCTATATCTTGTTTATAGACTTCTATATCTGTATAATCTAATTGTAATCCTCTATAAACGATGCCAATATAATCTTGTTCAAGACAAGAATAATTCCGAATAAGATAACATAACGGTCCAAATGTTTCAATTTTTGTGTAATCTTGTTTTCGTAAAGCTTCATTTAAAGTATAATATAGAAAACTATCTTTTGTATAGAAAGAAATGCATTGTTTGGATATTTCCACACGAGATTTGTTTGAACATTGACGAATTTTTTCAGCCATATATGCTGCTTCTGCATTACTATGATTACCATACAAAGCAGCTTCACGTACAATACCTTGAGCACATGCTTCAATACATTTAGAGAAATGAATAAAAGCTTGTTGACCAGCAGAACTCTTGAGCCAAGCAGTTAAAAATGGACACCAACAATCAGAGCTACCATAAGACGACGACGCCAAAGATCTATCTGATATTAATGGTATTGATGAACCAAAACGGTATTCACGTAAACATTCTTTTTGAGTTGAATCAGTTTGACGTTTAATTGGTCGTTGTTTTGTTTCATCCGTTAGTTTTATTTGAATAAATTCTTTCAAATCTACTCGATATCGATCTAATAGTACATAGGATTTATTCTTTTGATAGGCTTCTTCAATCAGATCAATTTCAATATCTCTATATCTACTCCATTCCTTTTGATTTATATCGGTTGTTGATGTGTTTGGCCACGGATTACTGTTTGATTTATAATACCAGCAAATATTTTCATTCATCATTGGGTAATTATTTGCATACACTCTTTTAATACTTCTTTTCTTCTCCACTGTATTTCTTTACATTTATATTCCCCTAAATATACATATTTACTGAGGCATATAATTATCGATGCAAAGAAAAGAAATCATATCGAAATCAATAATATGAATACATGCAGTTTTACATTCACTAGTATACGAACAGAATTACCGTGTTATGTCTCAGGTGTTGAGCGCACATGGGAATATTTAAAACAAGAATTCAATCGGAATAGTGATGGTTTACCTAATGCAAAATATTATGAAACAATGGGTGCTGGACCTCAATTATTTGCTGTAGTTGGTGATACAGTATATTATCATGATGAGGAACAATGGTTTCCATATTCATCTGCGATTAATATTGTACATGGAACAATAAATATTGATGATTGACACTTAATTACTAGTAGAACACTATATTAATAGGGTGTGGGTGAGAGTAAGTGGCAGTGAGATAAGTAATATCCTCATCTTCAAGAACATAAGGACAAAGACTTATTTTTATCTATTAAAAATAATCAAGAAAAAAGAACTATACTTGGATAAACTTGTAGATGCATTAGTTAAATATGTAAAATACTATTTAAATGACACCAATCTGACTCTTTCTGGAAAAAAATATAATAATTCCCATGATCTTCACATATGAAACATCATATATATTATTTATAAACAGAAAATACACACACACTATTGAACGCGAAAGCATGACATCAAAAATAATTAATTGATCGAGTTAATTAAGTATTCGAGAAACTGATTCGATTGATAATATGCTAAATGATCACGTTATCCAATTAGATATATTATTATTATTATTTTTATTTTTATATGACACTTCAAAAAGTTTGTTAAGAAGAAAAAACATTTGTATCTACTCTTGCTCTTCACAAACTAGACTATTGAAAATAAAATAATTATACTATCATTAGATGATGTTTTACAGAACACTTGATCAATTGATATCAAGATTCACTGTTGGATATTGAATTCAACACATTCCTAATTGTTGTATTAGCTAATGACTTCGAACTAGATGATACAATAATATATATATATATTTTATTTCATTAAAATTTATCATGTATGTACAGCAATTGAAGCATAGAGGAAACATCGAGTGAAGCTTTTATTACTTGACAATAACAAGCATGTAGAAAGAATATGAAGAATAAATAGTTTCATTAGAGAAGCAATCAGTATTGAAAATGATATCATCCGAGAAAAAATCATTAGCGAGAATAATATGAATGCGACACAAGCAAGAAGAAGAAAAAGTAATTATAGACTTTTAATAGTTATTAAAAGGCAAAGAATAGAAGAGAAATAAGAAAAAGACTATAATATATTGGATTATGTATATTGATGCTCATTCTATTCGCCATATTACGCATTATTGAATGTGTTACAGTACTAGTCGTTTGATAAGAGACACTGCTATTCATTCGATTTGATACAGTACTAGCCATTGTTTTTCCTATAGAGAAAAGAAATCTGTGTATTAGAAAACGCAGGAAACTGAAATTACCTTGTGTTGAAGTGCTCATTGAAGTAGAAGAAGATCCAACGGTTGTTTTTCCTATATAGAGAAAAATTTATTTATTAAAAAAAATGTAAAAACTGAAATTACCTTGTGTTGTAGTGCTCAATGAAGTAGAAGAACTTCCAACGGTTGTTTTATCTATGAAATAAATAAAGTAATTATACTATATATAATAGAAAAATACTATTCTTCGTCATCGATTTCACTCGTGTTCTATTATATTTCGAATTAATCAAACATATTCTATATTTTTTTAAGAATTATCCATCTTTGGGGTTAATGACTTAAAATAAAAAAACTTACTACAAGTGTTGGATGTAAGAGTAAATATTTGTATTCGATAGTTATCATCATCGCTTACAAACATATTACCATAGGTATCAAATGCCATATAACGAGGATTGTATAATTTGTCTGGTGTTGATCCACTTAAACCTGAACAACCAGCCACACATCGAAATCCATTTGAACTTGATGCAATGATACGTGAATTGGCAGTATCCATGATAAACATATATCCATCACTATCAAGTACAATACCACCTGGTCCTTGAAGTGTAATAGTTCCTGGTGCTGTACTTCCAGCTACGGTGGTTCCATTTAATTCACCGAACTTGAAACTTTGTATTCGATTATTATTACTATCTGCTACATACAAAGTGAAATCCGTTTTGACATAGATTCCCCATGGATAATTAAGCAATGTTGATGTTGATCCCGCTGTACCATTACTACCAATGAGCGTCACTGGTATCTTTGAATTCGTATTCAAATTAAGTGTTACTACTATATTTAAGTCAGCCATAGAACAGTATAATGTATTGTTCGTATCAATAAATAGATTAAAACATGCTTTACTAATATTCATTACTTCTACACTGTTAATTGCATTTGGTGTCCACTTATCGACTCGACCATTTTGAAGACCATTGTCGATGTAAATGTCACCGTTCATTGCAACAAATACACTATAGGGCCCATACAGACCAGCAGTAATAGTTCTTATAGGAATTGAACTATTGTAACGCCATACTTTAATAGTACTAATACCCCAACTGCCTGCATAGATAGTATTATTTGTATCAATAAAAATTCCATGCGTATATGGACCAAGTGTAGTAGAATTTGCAAATGTAGTGGCATTTGGATTCCAAGTTGCACACGGACTAAATTTCGGTTGATTATACCATAAAGCTATAATATAAAATAATATTCAAAAAAAATCTAATAAATTAATTTCTATATGTTCACTATTCTACTACATATTATTAATTATTCATTTCTTTTCTACATTCATTGATAAACAATTAAATAACTCATTAAAATTCTAGTTACAGAAAACTTATTTTGATCATTTTAATAGTGAAGTAAACTGAATGCACATATTGTAATAGAAACGTTATATGGAAGCTTTTTCAATATTCTTTCTATGGTATTATGATAACGATCAATACTCTATGGGATGATGAGTACACAAAGGAAAACTATTATTAGAATTTCTCTACAAAATTAAAAAAAATAAGAATTCGAATTCTTACCTGAACTGCATTGAAAGAACATGAATATGAATACTACATAGCTAATTCGAATACCGGATAATATTGGCATGAACATGTTGCTGTATATCGACGGATTTATCAGAACTATCGATTGATGTCTATAGAATAATAAAGAAAAAAAATGAAGTCTTAGAATAAAATATCACCTTCTTATATACTAGAAAAATTGCAGTTATAATGACTAAACTGAAGAACTATTTTTTATTTCAAAATATAAGATAAATTGAAAGTGCGTTTTTTTTCTATTGGATATTTTACTAACTACGTCATTGTTTTTAATTTACTTGATATATATGTTTTGTAATTTTTCTCAAGTAGCGAATATAGAGTTGTTCAAATAAAAACAAAGCAACTGATGTTTGTCAAATTTTTTATTTTCTCACTCGTTTATTACATTTCACTTAGTTGAATTTTTAAGAAAACAGTTCTCGATTGTTAACAAAGAAAAACAATTTGTTTGTTGATTGCGCATTGAAACAAGAATACCTCGTGATTTTCCTTCTCTTTAGAATTTAACACAAATAGTTACAATGATATCTTAGTATTTTCTGTTCATTGAAATTTATCTTATTGAGAATATTACATTAAAGACGTTGTTAAAGTAACTGAAATGGTTATCGAACATAAAGTTTTCTTTAGTAAATATTTTTTATTCTAAATTTTTATAATAAATTAATTTGAAAAAGATTGATTAATTTCATGTATTTTGGAAGTACGATCAAGGTCATTTTATGTCTTTTAAATAAATTGAAAAGTAATTTCATTACTGTCTTCAAGTAAAGAGGGTGTGGATGTATCATACATCTCCTACCAACATCCACACTCACGGCAAAATAGGATGCTCTTTTTTATTAAGAACACAACTTATCATTTTTTGTTTCACATTACTATGTACTATAGTTAAAATACTGATCATGCTGTGTTCTTTCAAAAACAAGTAAACCCAATGCATTTAAAAAGTGCCATTTCAAGTGATATGAATGAGCTCCCAGTTTATTATGCTTTTATGATTCTTTTCATCTCTCACTCCATGTTTCATTATATGCGCTTTGTACAGGTAAGTTTTTAGGGTTGCACACTAGTCATATGCATACACTTCTATTCATAAAAAGATGAAGAACGAAAGACCATTTTATGCTTGAAAAAAATATTAAAGATATTGATGCATAGGCATTTTGTATATTTTTGTACACGGATTTGTGAGATGAATCGTTAGAATTAATAAAATATTCTCCCATTTTTGTCCCCATTCAATTTAGATTTCTAGTGCAGCTTTTATACTGATCACGGCTTCCATTCTGATTTCCGAAAGTCAATAAAGATCATTAGCATAATGAATTAATTCACGATTAAAATCTTGATCTTTCTGCTAGAAATCCAATCAATTATTCTTTGTTTGTTTCATCAATATCAGTAAACAAAAACTACCCAGCCGGGAAGCGTTAGAAAAAAAACAACGTTGTTATGTGGGCAGAGCGCACATTTTTACATACTAAAACAATTTCTATGTTGGAAGAAAAAGTAAGTATGTAAATATTAACGTTTCGAAATTTATTTTCTCAAGAAAAACAAATTTTTTAATGCATACAAATGTGCGCTTTTCAACATTTGCTTGACTGGGTAAGTTTTGGAACATGTATTATTGTCCCCGAAGATTGTTTCTATTAGTAATGAAATAGAAGATGGTAATTTATCAAGATTAGGAAATTGAATAATTACGATTCTCATCAAACAAGTCGATGTACAATAACATAATATATAATAAAGAAGTAACAAAACCTATGTGTTTATTTTTATATTCATCTATTCCGGCTCGTAGGGTTGCATTCGTTTTCCTATATATGTATATATTGAAAACATCATCTAATAGTTTTTTATGTTTGACTAATCTCTCATATTTATATTTGTTTGGCAACATTTGTTGCAGATCTTGACAATGCAATCATGAGTCTTTTTCATCAAAGATGCTCAATTGATGAATAAAATCGAATATACGATGAACCATAACTAATTCTTCTATTTGACAAATATATAATTCAATTCCCTTCTTATCAATTGAATTACAGCTATTCTTTCAATAACAAAAAATTTCAACAAATTATCTAATGCGCAAACATTTCAAGAATAATGTCAACATTTATTTACTGATTCAGTTTTGTTAGTTACTCTATAACTGTTTCGCGTCTCATTCTTTCTTTCTTTCCTTTCTTTTATTCCTTTATTCAATGCTGCTATCATGTTGATGTGAGTGACTACATATATCGTGATCGAACATCAAACTAACGTTCATAATCTAACGCGAACATTTTTCCACAGAACATAACATTGAATTAAATTGCCCAAGACAGAATGGATTTAAATTAGATCTTTCATCTAAAATAGAGAATTCATGAGTCATTATAAGAAGTTCCATTGATAAATTTAAGCAATAAAACGAAAAAAATTGTTCTGATAGAGTTTTTACATTATATTAATCCCGAGAAAAATAATGAATACTGTTCAAAAATGCACCACATAAAACACTATGACGCTTGAAAAAAGACTTTCTGAGAACTGAAAGCTAAATGAATGATTGTACAACAACATTAACGAACATTTTTTACCGATGAAAAAATGACGACAATTTGAACTTTCCAACAAACCAAAATTCCTTAAAATTTCAATGATTAATCGGCACCGCAGAAATAGACCGCGTAAGCGACTGCATCACTGTGCAAACATTTTTTTATTCTATACTTGAAGGGATTCATGAATAAAGAAAATGTAAATATAATGGCACTCGTCACTTTTCGACGAAAAAGTAAGAAATTGGAAAGAAAATGGTGAAAAAAGAAATTTCATAATTGATTTTGAAGGGTTTGATTCATTTTAATTTCTGATTTTGCTTTCTCGTTTTTGAGACAAATGAGTATGGGTGTGATGGTTAGTTTTTCTGTTACTAATACTCATACCCATACTCATCAGTACGTAATAATGGACTTAATCCAATACGAGATTATAGAATTAATTTAGATATTTATTCTCCAGAATTATGTTTGATCATATTTGACGCACGGAATAAAGATCAGTTGAATCATTCAACATTTCTCGGACGAGCTTGTATTCTATTTACTGTACTTCAACCGGAATATAGATACATTAAAATTGAATAAGATTATAAATGCTTCTTTAAGTAAAAAATTTTTTTTTGTTTTCGGATGTGAAAGTTATGATTGACAAACTCTTGAAGTCTAATCGATATTGTAGACGTCGTTTCAATTGATTTTTAATGTAAGGCATAAACCATATGCGGTTTATTTATTCTATTCTGTTACATGACTGTATTCTTACTTTTCGGCGAAATTATTCTTATTTGAATAATAATCAATGGTACCTTTTCATTTAGTGTTTAACAAATGACTCATGACTTACAGGTGAATTATAGATAAACAAAATGCACGTTGTGGTATAATCATCGAAGTTTGCAGCAGCAGCAGTAGTTAAGCTCTCTAAATTTTTAAAATAAGGCCACATAATAATCTTTATTTTGTATAATATTGAAATCATATATTAAGTCAAACGTATGACAGTTTGCATACAACGTCAGTAACATTGTATACAAAGTACAACTAAAGAAAAAAGCATCTTGGTATGTTAAAACGACTAGTCCTATTCTATGATCGAAAGTTCATCTCACAAATCTGTTGTTCGTTACCAATTGAAACTACAACCACGTTTACATTTAACACACACACAAATGAAATTCTCAGACCGGGACACGATGTTATTATGAATAATCATCTATTGATCATGAAATTTCGAAAAATATGACGAATAATAAATAGAAAAGAAAAAAAATTATGACATAGTTTAAACAATCAGTATACAAGTGTTTATATTGCTTAAGGGGATCGATTGCATAACGCAGTATGAAACAAAAAGGAAATACCGTTGTGGGCTAATCGCAAAAGAAAGTTGGAAATAAAAGCTAAGTGACAAGCGCAAGTATTTTTCTAACCGAAAAATTTATCAACTACTTAAATATGAAAAAAAAACATAAAAATAAAGTAAACGATTCGTTTCCACATCGGGAAAGAAGAACATTATTAAAGGGATTATTCAAATGAATAATGATGATGGATTATGCAAACGAAATATTAACGGAGGTGTATGTTACGTTGCGAAATCTGCATACTTAATTTGTATTCACTTCACCTGAGCAAAAAAATCGCCGAAAAATATAAACAAAGCATACACTTAAAAGTCATTACAATAATATTTCTTGGAAATATTCATTTAATTCTTCATGAGTAATACTGTCTTCCGACGCTTTTAGCTACTGCTTGCTTTTAATGCCATGCTGTAAGCATTCTGTATAAGAAGTCATATGTATTGTTTTTTATGCATCGACAAAAAATATTACCCATTGAGTGACAATTGCGAAAATACGCAGTTGCGTGACAGATTCATGCTGGGAAGAAGTCCATTTCGTCGGTATATAATAGCTGCTATTGCCAATGCAGTTGATCATCTACCAAAAAACCAAACGTCGACGTCATACATATCAATGGCAATGAAAATCATCATTTTGATGTTTATTGTGCTTTTGTGCACGATGTATATCAACGGTCAAGTATGAAAATTATTAATAGAATATGTTTTCATGTCCAATATTAATTTTATTCTTATAGAGCATAAATGGAACCGTTTCATGTAAGTACTCGGGTCGTGCTCACTCCTGTCCGGCTGAGACTTGCATTGCGGTCGATGTTGTTCTTCGTGAACACACTTATATCTCCGATTGTCATGTCATCGGAGAACCCACAACTCGTGCAGGTATCACCAGTGCTAGATGGTATCATCTTTATCTACCAAGTGGTAGACAGGGCTTCGTGAGCAGCCTTATATGCGCAGGCTCGGTGGAACGTTGTCGACGAACTCACGCACCCAGGCCATAAGAACTCGATAAACTTTTATTCTTAAATTTTTATGCATAATTTTTTACTAATAATCAAGAAATACTATCTAGTCGAATTGAGCTTTCATAATAAACGAGAATGTCATGAAACATTGTGAGCGGATTATCTTTATCATTCTGAAATGAATCGTTCTAAGAAATAGCCGCAGACAAGTGAAACAAGATGAAACCGAGGGGTTGGTGAACAATGAGCACAGGAAAGTTAAGCGCAAATCAAATAAAAAAGCCTAATCTCTTATAAAAGATCAATCTAGGGTGTGGGTGTGAGTGGGGTTTGTGTGGATGTATATGTTAATTACAAAAAAAAATAATATTTACAGTCACCCCGCCCACATTCATACCGACACCCACATCAACCTACACTCATACTCACCCCCATATCCACACCCACCTCCAGGCCGACACCCACATCTACACCTACACCTACACGCACATCCACAACTATACCCACACCCACCCTCACGCCATACTCATCCACACCGACACACACACACACTCTAGCCATACCCTCAAGATCAGGCTTTTTTATTTTATTTGCGCTTAACTTTCCTGTGCTCATCGTTCCGGTTCCTAAAACCGAGTATTTCAATAAACATCATGTATTTGTTATAAATATAGAGTCAATTTTTGAAAGGCTGCCGATGAAATGAACGAAAAATTTTCGTACAATCGACATTTTCAATTTATTTCTGTTATTATTCCTTCTCCTTTCGGTATAATCGTCAGAAATGATTAATCATTTACACAGACAAGGAGAGAATGTGAAAAAAATATTATGTGTGATTGCATTATACTTTTTACCTGTCTAAGAAAAGAAAACAAAGTAAGCATACATTCATCAAACGCAAAACCGTTGAGAGATAGTCATCATTTTATACACATAAGTTCAAAATAGAGCAAGACAAATTTTAACAACGAATAAAACTATAACTGATAACAAGATTATACATCTTATATTCATTCAAATATCTTTAATTTGAACACATTAAAATTATGTTCTATTCGAAATGTGTTAGAAATATTTTTCACTCTTTTGTATCGCATTATTGTCTTTTCAATAAATGAAGGAAGTTTTGAATTCGATCGACCCTTATAACGTTCTACAAATGCTTCATGTTACTCTCCTACAATATCGATAACAGAATGCTAATAATAGTGTATTCGCAATCAAGATATTCATAATAGAATGATTCTTGGGCGTTTTTCTTTCAAATAATGAATGAGGAAATTTTTGCACGAGTGGAATAGATCATTCATAATATTCTCAACAACTCTGTTTTTCTGGTTTAGCCTTGTGATAATCTATTTTAACGTCCTTGAAACCATCAAATGAAGCGCAAACAGAACATGTGAAATGGCTGAAATGTCATTACTATATTTATTTCTTATTTCAAGTCATAAAAATGATCTACTAGAAAAGCATTAATCAAAGACTTATGAACATAAAAGAAATGCAATGACAGTATTCCCAACATTAACACAACGTGCGGTTATTATAAATATATATATTGCGTATGAGTTTTTTTTATTATTAAAATAGAAAAGCTTAGTGTTCAGGGGATGCAGATCATTTCATAATAGAGAAATGTTGTCGTTTGTGTGGCCAGTATTTTGTTTCTGGATAACAGTTGACTGTTATTCTAATTTCTATGTTACCAGTCATTTACCGTATGATTGTATCTATTACTATTCAATGGTAACAGAAACACCAACAAAAACTGAATATTGTTTCAGACCGACGCACGATACTCATATCACAACAATAGACTTCGTCAATACACGGGATCAAAATTATACATTTGATCAATTATTCCAAATGAATGTTACTGCTTATAATATCTTCGTTTGGTCTGCTTCGATCGATGTTGCTGAACAATATCAATACTATCTTGATCAAAAAAATCAATCTCTTCAATCTAATGAACTATTCTTTAATTGTACATCACCTTGGTTTGGATCTCGATGTCAATATTCTCTTGAAACTAATGAATTCGAATTTCCCGCTCTTACTACAGGACACACATGTTACATTTTGTTAGAGTGTGATCGTGGTGGAGCATTTCTTTGTCTTGATTGGCGTGAGATATGTGATGGACGAATTGATTGTCTTAATAACGGTGTTGATGAAGCAAATTGTTTTGAATTAGAAATAAATGAATGTAAACCAAATGAATATCGATGTCATAATGGACAATGTATTTCGGAATATTACTGGAAAAATGAGAAATTTGCTGCAAGATGTCTCGATCAGTCAGATTTCTCGAATCAGATTCCTTGTCCTAATCAAGGTCTGATACTGGATCGATTTTATTGCGAGGAAAATACATGTCCGCCTGGTCGGAAGAAATTCTCATGTGGAGATGGACAATGTGTAGCTGATTTCGATGAATGCTTCAATGGAAGACATCTTATGTTATACGAATCATTGACTATCCAAGGTAATTTATCATATCATTGTTGGATTGCCATGGTTTGTCTTACTCAACTAATCCATCAAATCAATCCATCGTTCTGCGACGAATTTCTTCAATCTACTCATATACTTTCTTCTCTTCATGCATGTGATTATTTCACTCAATTTCCTATCAATCCTGTTCTTCTTGGTCATATTTATTTTCTCTATCAACCGCAACAAATTTTAGAAGTGAATACTTATTCGATTCTATTACCACATTATGTTTGCTATGATGAACAATTATGCACTTACTTTTCACCAACATTTCGTTACGAATCACATACATGTCGCTCTGCTTATCAAATGGGATTGACATCCAACGAGGGATATTCTACTTGGAAAGAAATGATTGATATCATCAAACCTTATTTTTATGGTTGTACTAGTCGATACAACGATCACGATTACTCGAAACATTCATTATTGTACCAATGTCGAAATACTTCAAAATATATTTCAAAACATCGTATTGCTGATGATACCATTGATTGTTATTGGAAAGATGATGAAGAAGATTTGAAATTAAGTTGTTCACTTCATGATCCTCGTCGTTTTACATGTCCAAATGAAGTTCGATGTCGATCACCATTACTTCAATCATCTGGTTGTCCATTTGTAGAAAATGAAAGGAAGAGTATTGATAAGATTTTATTCAATCAAATATGTGATGGAGTCATTGATATGCTACCTGAATTGATTAATGGAGAAAATCATACCGATGAAAGTAATTGTGAATATTGGCCTTGTAATAATATTTATACCAAATGCGATGGATTTTGGAGTTGTCGAAATGGTGAAGATGAAGAAAACTGTCGGCCATCGAATTGTTCTCGGCATTTCTTTGAATGTATATCACCATATAATTATACGATGATCTGTTTGCCGGCAGCTGAAGTTAGAAATGGTATTGTTGATTGTCTTGGTGGATTAGATGAACTTCAGTTATGTCAAACAGCCAATTACTACAGTGGAATCTCATATGGTTTTCGTTGTTTATATGATACTCAATGTATCGAACCCTTTATAGTATGTGATTCAAATGGTGAAATATTCTACGAAGAAGTATGTAAGGAATGGTCTTATTACAATCTTTCTGATCTGCAAAATAAGCTTTGTTATTCTGGCGCATTGGAGCGTGTTCCGTTTACATTAAAAACAGCTGAAATCTATCCATTCATTGACAATACAATGGCCAATCCGGTTGTTCATTCGACACGAAAATTACTGCGTATTCACCTTCCATCATTGCAATGTACACGTGGTTCACTCGTACATCTACGATTAGGAAATGATAATTACACTTCAATTTGTATGTGCCCACCAAATTATTATGGAAATCAATGTCAATATCAAAATCAACGTGCAGTTTTGATATTAACATTCTCAGCCATTAATAATGCACATCGCATATATGCTGTTTTTATTAAACTAATTGATGATGATAATAATCGAGAAGATATACAATCTTATGAACAAATCATTTATGTTTCAAATATAGCGTGTGGTCAACCATTTGAAAGATATTTTCTGTATTCAACAAGACCGAAGGATGTTTCGAAAAACTATAGCCTTCATATTGATATTTATTATAAGATTTCGTTGGAATACATTGCTAGTTGGTATTTCAAAATTCGATTCAATTTTCTACCAGTGAATCGACTCGCTGTTGTATTAACTTTAGCATCAAATCAAAGTATTCGTTCTGGTTTTTGTACTCTGACATGTGAACATGGTATTTGTATGAAATATATGAATGAAGAAAAATTTTTCTGTCACTGTAAGAGAGGTTGGACTGGTGCTCGATGTCACATACCTATTGATTGTAATGATTGTTCATCCGATTCAATCTGCGCTGATAGTGTGTATAATCGATCGATCTGTATTTGTCCTCTTACAAAATTTGGTAATCGTTGTTTGGTCAAGCACTCATGTCCGGTCAATTATTGTCAAAATAATGGTCTGTGCATCGTTATTGATGAACAAATGACTGATAACAGTTATGAATGCTTATGTTCAGAAGAATTTCAAGGAAAACAATGTGAACATCTAAAAGCACGATTATATATCGCTCTTAATGATAGAGAAATGTCATCCTATCTAATAACATATATTTATTCGTTTATTCAATCGGACCCACCAGTAATAGATGGAACGGTACTTAAAAAATTGATCAAAATGCAGAGCAATGTCACATTATATTCACGGGATCCATTTCAAGTTGTGTTCATTTGGATCAATACTAAGTATTTTTTAGCTGTTCTTCAGCACTCCCGCGTGATCAATATCTCAACATCGATCGATTCAACTCGACAATGTCCTTCCGTTAATGAACTTCTCAATTCTAAACAAATCAAATTGCCTCGAATAGAACGAATTAAATATTATCATACTTTATGTTTGAACCGTCCTAACTTAAAATGTTTCTTTGATGAATCGTATATGTGTTTATGTACAATAGAACATCATGCCAATTGTTTTGCCTTCGATCATGAACGTAAATTTCAATGTCAAGAAAATTTTCATTGTCTCAATGATGGACAATGTTTGCAAGATGATACAAAATGTCCTGTAACAACTGTGTGTGAATGTATTGATTGTTTCTTCGGCGATCGATGCCAATTCCAGGCGAAAGGAATCGGATTAACACTGGACGATATTTTACGTTACGCAATTCGACCAAATATTGATTTAAAAAATCAATCACCTTTGATCAAAGTAGGCATCTTTGTTACGGTGCTTTTATTCGTCATAGGTCTAATAAGTAGTGCTCTCTCATTGTTAACATTTCGACAGAAAGATACCCGTACAGTCGGATGTGGAATTTATCTTCTTACGTTATCAATCATTTCTGTTCTAACTATGACTATGTTACTAATTAAATTTTGGTTTGTACTACTCACTCAAATGAATTTATCAACTAGTCGATCTGGTCTTCGTGTTGGATGTTTAGTAATAGAACCTCTGCTTAAAACTTCCTTATGGATGAATAGTTGGCTGAGTGCTTGCGTGGCGATCGAACGAGCAGTGAATACTTGGAAAGGAGTATATTTTAATAAGCCGCTTAGTAAAAAATTTGCTAAAGTAATAATTATTTTCTTGCCGATGGTGATTATTGGTACACATATTTTCGAGTGGAAAGCTCGAGATTTATTCGATGATCAGGAAGAACAACGCTTCTTGTGTGTCACTCTTTATTCTGAACTCTTATACAAGGTTATGACCGCTAATATGTTCTGTCATTTCATGATACCCTTTGGTATCAATCTCATTTCAGCTTTATACATCATCATTAGTGTTGCTCGCCGACGAGCAGTAAGGCTAACGTCGAATACTTATTATGAACATCTCAAAGAACAATTTCATGAACATAAACATTTAATCATCAGTCCAATAGTTCTGGTTATACTTGGAATTCCTCTTTTTGTCATTTCGTTATTGTTTAGATGTGTGAAAACAACGAATAATACTTGGTTATATCTTTCAAGTTATTTTATTTCATTTATTCCATCAGCATTGATCTTTGTTATTTATATTCTCCCGTCGGCGTTGTATAAGAAGGCATTTCTGAAATCGATAAAAAGATATCGACGATTTTTCGCTCGACAATGAACGCTATATGCATTTCTGACTTTTAATGTCCAATTGGACATCTACTTCGCTTTAACAGATTGACTTTTTTTATCAACAATGGACATTTATAGCTTTCTCTTCATAGATAACTATGTGTGAAATGCTTCAAGCTTCATCTAGACACTCTTCAAATGGTGGAAAAATCACTTTTTCATTCTGTCACTGATATGGATTATTTATTAGAGGGTGATCGTACATGGTCTTTTGTTTTAGACGTGGGCATCGATGACTGAAGAAGAATGACTCAGCTCACTCTTTCCTCAAGATATACGAACTTGCTCTAAAGAACTTTAGAGACAATCACCGATACCCTGCTATTTACAGTGAACAGTAATGATCTATGTGATTGTTGATATATATATATATCATATGCTTGATTTACAGCTTTTCTGCTTCTTCTTCTTCTTCTTCGCTCAATTTTGCAATTATTCAGGAAATAAAGAAAACATGGCAATAAAATCAATAATCATAGTCATAAAAGTAGTGAAAGTAACAACCAATAATCATGGAGCTACAACTAACAAAACCCGTGCACACACTGAACCTACGCATATTTTCCTGCACTAAAGTCGCTGCTATTTTCGCGCATGATACACATTTATCCGGTAGTTCCATAAGTTAAAAAGAAATTTGAAGATCAAGAAGTGTTAACGTTTGTGAGAAAATCTAGTTTACTTTTGTTATATATCTACCTTCTACACCTTTCCACATCTCGCTTTTATCTTGGTTGTATGCCTGGGTGTCGGTTTTGGATGTTACTCCTTCAGTGACATCCAGACACCCATCCACACCCACACCCACACCCACCCCACACCCACACCCACACCCACCCCACACCCACACCCACACCCACACCCACCCCACACCCACAACCACCCACACCCACAATCACTCACACACTTACAGCCCTCACCCATCCATACCCACTCCAATTCATTAGATGTGAACAAAAACTGAATTTGTCATGATCTACAAGCTATAATCCACACTTTTCCTTCTACGTCTTTAAAATATTAAATATGAATAACAGGAATGCCAAATATGATTGAAGATCATTAAATATTCACTCATATCATACATCAACAATATTTCTACACCATATAAATCATATATTTGATAAATATGCAAAGAAATATTATAAAAGAGAGTGACTCTCATACTAAAGATCACGTAGCTAATATCGAAAATTAAATTTCATTGGAAAAATTCATTTTCAATATATTCCTCAATCTGATACATATCAATAGTATGCTGAAATATGTCCTGTGATCAATCTATATCTTTATTTCAATATACTTTTATTATGTTTAACAAATCAACAATGAATAGTTTTTGATCATTTTTTTTTGAGAGAAAAGAGGTGATCAAATTTATGCACTAAACGAGAATTTATCTGTTGATTTTGGTATTTGAAAAACTTCTGTATTGTCAGACAATAGTAGAAATTAAAGAATAGATTAGTTTGAAAACGAATTTTAATTCTATGGTTTCTTTTTTGATATTTCATTACGATGCTCATGAATGTGAATAGAAAGAAAAGACGTCATTGATAATAAAGTAAAAAAACGTCATATACTATTTCTGAGAGTGAAATGATCGATCGATATAATAATGTATGAGAACGGTGTTAAAATATAATGAGTGGGCCAGAAATAACGAAAGGTTCATTATTTTTCGAATTTGTTCGTCACTTCTCGCTCTTTTGACCTACCATCTTTTTGAAACCATTTTGAGGGTGGGTGTGGCTGTCAGAGAAAAACTAACGCAATATCCACGCTTACACCCACATCGTCAGGATATGTGTACTGAAATTCTTTTTCGTTACTAATACGAAAACAAATTATTTATATCAGCATCCATCAATGAAACCAAATGAAAGAGCAGATAATCATAGTCGAATATTGAAACTAGATTCCATAGTCAATATGACAATCTTTTTTTTCACATATTTGTCACATTTGTTTTACTGTTCCAAAATAAATGAAATTAATTAATCAAGAAAACAATAGAATTTTGCATAGACATTCGTAAATGAACACCTTCAGGGTTTAGACATATATTCATCTTTTCCTTATCTACACCTACTCTCAAAGTTGATTATGTTCTGTATTAATTGATATATTATAATACACATAATGACTTACTTATTCATCTGCTTCTATATATCTAACTTCTTACTAACGTTTTTATTGACTTGCTTAATTATTTATCTATCTATATGTTTGCTAGTCCGCCCATTTTGTAGTCTAATAAAATTGTACAAATATTTTATTGATAATATCACTAAACAAGATCAAACATTGAATATTTAAATATTACAAATCAAATATTTACTAAGCAAATTCATTGTTGAAGTTATTGTATGCATTCGTTGATTGTCAATTTGTCAAAAATTTCTTCTATAAATATCGATTGTCAATACTAATGAAAAGCCATTATTAGTATGTATTCATTGGAACACATCATTTGCTGTTATCTTGTAATCATTAGTGTGTTAACTGAAGGATTACCAAGATATCGTCGACAAAATTTCGGGCAATATGTCTCACAACTATCTCTTAATATTATTCCATTAGGAGAAGTATGTATAAATATCAATTTCTCTAATTTTTAACTTTAAATATTTCTTTCAAATAGTTGAACTTAGGAGCTCAAGCTAATGGTAATATTAATGATTTTAATAATTATAATATAACTGGACAAGGAGATTTAAATGTTCCAATCTATAATGGTGGTCCTAATAATCCGTCAGTCGGTCTTGGTGCAGCAGCAGGTATTAGCTTCGGTTCTTATAATGTAAGTTTTTCTATGTTAATTATTTTGATATATTTTCTATATTTATCAATTAGGGACAATTTTTTGGACCAAAACCAAACTATGATGCTGGTCTTAATGTTCATATTCCATTTGGTCGTCGGTAGCAATCAATCTATTTTCATTTCTCAAATACTACGATTGATTTTAAAAAGATTAAATTTGTGATATCTGTCTAGATTTTTTATGTTATTAAAGAAATTTTTTTATAAGAGAGAAAATATGTTGAAAAAAGACACACATCAGTCTTCACCCTCCCATTTCATACGGTGATGACAATAAAAATTTAGAAAATAATTTCTTCTCAATGTGGTTGGAAATATTATCAGGATTACTTGATACAATTACTAAAAACGTATAACTCTAAACGGTGACATTGAATCAAATTAGCGTTGTAAATTTTAATGATTTATAAAAATTTCATGTTATATTTTTCTCGTTGGTTTATTGAAACAAGTATGTATATAACCACGTGCAAGCAAAAATATGTTCTGTTTCTATAGATTGCAAACAGAACGCAAGAAAATTTCTGTTTTGTCAGTAATTATGTTAGAAGGTTATTTCAGCAATGTTGTATGAAAGAAAAAGGTGAAGACATATGTTACTACTTCTCACACGTGTATCAAATCGATTCAGATTATTTTAGTATAACCTTCAGCGACATATGGATTTAGAAGATTTAGCAAATGAAATTATACTTGAAATTTTTGGATATTTTTCTACATTTGATCTTCTTCGATCGTTCTACAATCTGAATATTCGTTTCACTCATCTTGTTTTTGCATATTTTCATACTTCTGGTGTTGATTTTTCAAGAATATCTCTACAAGATTTTCATCTTATTTGCCAAGAATATCTTCCAGCAATAGCTGATCATATAACATCATTACGTCTTACTAATGATGATGATACACCACAACAAGCAGATGTTTTTCTTCAACATGGTTTAACACTTCATCAACTACATCAATTACGAAAACTTTCATTGTGTGATATTTGTTCTAACGACATCATGCATACAATGATGTCTGACTGGACATCTCTTCGATATTTAACCCATTTAACTCTAGCTGGTTGTTATTTAACATTTGATCAGAGTACTAGTCAAATTTTAATCGATACTATTTGGAGTTTACCGATTCTGATCTATTGTTATTTGAATATCAGTTTTGAAGAAACGAGCATTGCTATACCAACAGTTAAATCTATATCATTGAAATATTTATTTATTTGGGGTTTTGCATATGATCAAAGCCAACTTAATACTATATTTCAACATACACCTTGTCTAGAGCAATGTTCTATTCTATTCAATATGGATATTCCTAATCAATCTCTTGTTATTTCACAGCCTCTTTCATCGATGACTCGATTACGAATTCATTCATCTCATATAGAAGATGATTGCTTAGTCAAACTCTTACAAATCATGCCGAATTTATATCAATTAATTATTGATGTTGATTCTCTTGATTTACATTCTACAAATCCGATTTTAAATGGTTATCAATGGGAAACAATCATTCGTTTTTATTTACCTCATCTTCGAATATTTCGATTGAGAATAGAATTTTCATTCCCAGATCAAAATGATTTAGATAAACAAGTCGATGATTTACTTAAATCGTTTCGAAGTTCATTTTGGCTTGAAGAACATAAATGGTTTGTTCGATGTCATTGGAATCAATGGAATACAGCTTGTCTTTATACATTACCATACAAATTTGCAGATTTAAAATTTGATTCTTCGATGAAATATAAGTCTACATGTCCGAATGATAATCATTATTTGTCCTATAATCATGTTGAGGATCTTCAATACAAGATTCTTCCAATTCAATCACCAATGGTCTCGTCTATTCGTTTCATGAATGTAGATCATTTATCAATTGAATTTCCAATGGATATGCATTCTTTGCCGAATATGCCTCGATTAGATCAAGTTACTTCATTGGAAGTTTGTATCATTAATAATTATCTTGCTCAATCTAAACTTCAAACTCTGTTGAATCAAATGCATTGTCTGTCTTCATTTAGTTTCCATCCATGCTCATTATCTCTTCTGGGATCGTCATTTTTTAAACTTACACATGCGAGAATTTGTCGACTCGATTTCAGAATATTTTTTCAATACTTCGATGATGAACAATGTACTAATCTAAGTGATTCACCATTAGGCAAGCAATGTGAAGTTCTATCGATAAAAATTAAAAAACGCGAATCATTACCCGATCTTATCAATAACATGATCAATCTTCGTGCTTTAAATATTCAATTTGAAGATGATCAATTTGCACAAGAAAACGATGATGAACTTGTCCATTGGTTAAGAAATCATTTGCCATCGACATGTTTAATCAGTAGAGATACTGCACTCAATAAGGATATTCGCATATGGGCTCGTTAGACAGTTAATACGACAATTACTTTTAGTTCACATTCATACCTATATTGAATAATAAAGTATACGATTGGTTTGATATTTATGAATGTACTAAATGAATAATCAAATATCTCATATGATTCAAACTTTGAAAAAAAACGTCGATCTATTGAAGCATATAACATATGTGCTATATTATCAGTTTTATTTCGATTTTCTTAAATAATGAAGCACTTTTGTAATTAATGGTTTACCATTTTATCTAATCGTGAGAAATTTGAAAAAGACTTCATTTAAAAAAAAATTTAATTCTTTAAAAAAGCTGCTATTTTAAACCATCTGAAAGGTATGGTATGAATATAACACATACAAAAGACAATCATATAATGTTTTTTAATATTCTACATGATACTATGATATTACTGAGAGATGTTTTATGTCTACATTACAATATCGTGCCGATCATCAGTGATGAAAAATTAGGTGAAAAAAGGCTATCGAATTCAAAGCTGAGAACAATCAACTTGATATGATTATTTAGTATAAAATATACACATAGAATATCATCTATTATTATTCTTTGCGCCAAAAAAACACAACATAAATCTCTGTTATTTTTTGTGAGTTTATTTATTATTATTGGAAAATAGGTCGGTATTTATTTATACATAAATATGAATTATGATTAAAAAGAATAGTTCGTATTAATAGAGTTGTTTACCATCTTTGATAACCATATCCACCACCATAACCATTAACTCCTCGTTCACCACCATATATTTCACCATAAGTTGGATTTGGGTTTCCACCCATGAAATTATCTAATCGTTCACCCAACACACCTAAATTAGAAGAAAAAATTTATATTTCCTTTTTGATAGCAAAGAATATTAAATACTTACTGTTTACTCCACCGGGAATATTCTGATTAATCCACATATCAGATTGAACTTCTGAAAAAGGTGTACCATAGCTTTGAGGATAATAACTACCGTACATTTTTGATATATTAAACGACGAGTAAATTACGAAGAAATAATTCTTTTTCGATCTATGAATAAAACCCTATGTATTACCTTTATTTATATATATAAATATTTTCTTCTCTTCTTTTGAATACTCTCACACATCGGTAAAAAAATAAAATAAATTCAGTCAACCATAACCGTGAATCACATATATCAAATACATGTACGTCCCCCTCTCTCTCTTCGATTATTTTTGTATATCAACCTACGCAGTATTATTTTAGTACAAATCTGAATTCATATTCAGTTCTTGTTTGACTATTACATCACCTTGATTAATAATTATCGAAATATTTTTTGTTTTCCTCTTGTTTATCGATTCAAACGAGTACGTATTACGGCAAAAAAAATGAATCTATATGGTTGACAGCTTATGATGTAAATATTATTCATCTAATTTTCGTCATCGAAATAAAAAAAAATACATACTAAACGAACCATCATTAACTTTCTTTATTTTTTAAGTCATACAATATAATTAAATATTTTATTTAGTGTGATTACTATCGATGCAAATGTATTCATTCTGTCTTTAGAAATTTCAAACGTAAAATAATATTTATATTCACAGATTCTCAATCCCGAAAAGACTAGAATTTTAATATATTATCAAGAAACGCTCAGAATCATTTGTCAAAAAAACATATTCTCACTCCCACACCAGCATTATAAATAGAATTTGCGTAAAGATTTTATTTGTTCGAAAAATAATCTAACCAGAAAAACTCATTTATCAATTAAAATATCAAACATGTGTAATAACTAAATTTACTAATGTGAATGTCTTGGTACTGAACAGCATAGAAATAGAGATGAAAATAAGCAAATTTTTTCATTCTCTTCTCAAAGTTCATTTCATTGATTATATTTAATAATGTATTATACAAAACAATTGATTATGTACACAATATTAAAAAAAGATGATGATTTCGGTTTAAATTCTTAAATTGAAAAAGAATTTTATGAAATAGTTAAAAAACAACAAGAAGTAATTAAAATATTGAAAAGCCTATAACAATAATAGAAAGAGAAATTAAAGTCAATTTAATTATCTTAATTCAGTTTAATTCGTACTCAAATAGAAGCCCATAATGTTTAACAATTATTAGACTTATTGTTATCGATTTACAATGTATCACTTTGAAATGCTGATCAAGCTATTGCCTTTGATATTATATTTCATTTTGTTATCTCTTATTATTTTTATTGTAATATTTGAATTTTTTCTGATACTTAAAAAAAGGTAATGTACAGTCCTGATGAGTGTTTATATTGAAATCATAAATAACACGTGACACATTGGTAAATTATTTTGTGTATTTCTTTACCATTTAACTTCGACAAATCAGTCTATTGTTGACGAGTAAAAATTGAGATATATCATGACCTCGGAGGAATAATTCTAGCTCGACCCGTACCGACCGAATGAACTTGAGTCTTTTTGCACAGTAGCAATTTGGGCCAAATCTCAGGAAGTGAACTAAGGCACATGAATGGCATGAGAATTGTAGAAAATCGTATTAAAAGAGTAAAATAAGAGATTTGTATAGCAGTTGCAAAAGTTGGTAAACAACAGTTTTGTATAATTCCTACAATAAACGATGGTAAAGTCAGACTGAGAAAGAGACTTGCAAACGTTAACAGTTGAATGATCATCCGGCGATGTCTGCGCCAGTTGAATCGATTATTTTGTATT